GTCAGGATACCCAGGCTTTTTGGAATTAAAGGTCATTAGTGTCTGAATTCCATCAATGGTATTTCAGTCTACAGGCGTAGACTTGGAGGCAGCCCATCTGTGTGATTAGTTTGCTTTCCTATATGTTAGGGAACAGCTTACCTGAAATGCATTCAGTATAAACCAATCTATAAACATCAACTGTAATGAAACTGTAATAAAAGTATATTGAGGTGAAAAAGATGATAAAATAACGTGTACATAGGTTGACAGTGGTCGTGAAAAATGGGTGGTTGGATTGTAAAAATTTCACTGTTTTTCTTCCGCACTTGGGGAGACTGTCTTATCTATGTTTTAGTCAGTGTTCTCCAGAGAAACAGAACTAACAGGAGATGCATGATTATGGAGGACTGGGAAGTCCCTGAAATGTCATCTGCAAGCTGGAGATTCAGGGAAGGTGGTGGTGTAATTCAGTCTGATTCTGAAGACTCAGGGGAGCCAGTGGTGTGGAGCCCAGTCCGAGGACAGGAGTAGATGAGATGTCTCAGCTCAGGCAGGCAGGCAGGAAGCAAAAAGGGGTGAATTCCCCCTTCTTCCACCGTTGGTTCTGTTCAGGCCTTCACTGGATTGATTTGATGATGCCCACCCAACCTGGGGAGGGCAGTCTACTGAGTCCACTGATTCAGATGCTCACCAACACACCCAGAAATAATGTTTAACCTGGGCACCCCATGGCCAGTCAAGCTGACTGGCACAGTCTGTGTCTGTGCATCTGCTTGGCTGGCTGATCCTTGTAGCAGAGAAAAAAAGTGTCTCACCAGGCCCAGTGGCCTCATTAACACTGTCATGATGCCCACAGAGTACATATATTATGGGCGCTGCATATTTATTCTTATCCTTTCTTTCTCCCTAATTTAGATGGAGGTATGTTTAATTTTTCATTCTCGCTTTAAACAAAAGTAACGGCATTATCCTTACTTTGTTTTAAGCCTGGCTTGATTTCTGTCTATGAAGCATTTTCTTCCCCTATGCAAAACATCTTCTCTGTTTAAAATATTTCTTCCTGAAACTCATATTGAACAACTGTTCTGGTAAGTTTGTTTAATTCTTGTAGGATGGATACTGAGGTGAACAGTTAGTATCTATTTTAATTGTTAGCATGTAATCAATTTGTTACATTAATTGACTTGTACAGTTTGTAAAGCCATATTCCTCAAAGAATAAAAAGATTAATTTTCCAACAGGAACGAATCTCTGTTACTTGAACTTCATTTTCAAGCAAAATGACAGGCTTGTTCTACTTATTTAATTTTGAAAATAACATTTAAAAAAATCTAATTTTGAAAGAATTTGTGGTCCTAGGTCTCTGCTCTCAGATCCACTCCTTGCCCTTTATTTGCTGTCTGTGCTCTTGCAGTAGCTTGCAGCCTTGCAGCATCCTTTTCTCTCCAGTCCATGGAACCCCCAAAACAAGGCTCTCTCTAGAACGTTAGGCCCTGTACCTCAAACCACTGCTGTGCTGCAGGTCTGGTGGCATGCAGGGGAATAACTCCCAGCTGCCTGTCTCCAGCTGGCTGTTGCAGAGCCCAAGGTCATGTTTATCACCTAGTCCGACTGGCCTGTGGGCCCTGGGTAGGAAAGGGTTGACGGTCGAGACCCAGAGCCTCGCTCAGGCTTGTGTTGGGTTGGAAAAGTCATGACGCATTTTTGCAACGAAAAACATAGAAAAAATACGTCATGACTTTTCTGACAATCCAATATATTGAGATACTAATTTCTGTGTGATAAAATCTTTAACTCATTCCATTATAGGTCCTGTTTTTAGGAAAAGTTGGTTATTTATAGACAAGACATGTTTTNATCCTTAGGAAGTCTGTACTGTTAGTACCCCCACTTGCAGACTAGTCAAAGAGGCTTAAGGTACTTGTCCAAGGTCAGCCAGTTAAGTGATGGGACTGCTGCCACTATCCCATATTGTCTCTTGAAAAGTGAATTGTTCAAAAGATACCAACAGATAGCTAGTGATATAATAAGCAGGGTTACATTTCTGAAATGCTACAGTAAACATTATGCAACTTCAGTTGAAAGAATAATTATTATTTTAACAAGAATACCAGTTCTTGGGCTGGCCGAGTGGCTCAGTTGGTTAAGAGCTTGCTCAAGAGTGCAAGCTCTGAGCAACAGTGGTTTGAGTCCCATCCAAGCTGAGCTGCCGCTGAGCTGCCAACAGGTGGCAGGATGGCTCAGCTAAAAAAAGAAAAAAAAAGGATACCTGTTCTCACTTGGTTTAGATAACGACAGTAAAAATGATCAGTGCCATTCATAGTCACAATGTTATGGATTAAAGACTCATCTTGAAAGTTGTCCTTATGAAAATTAGCACTACTATCTTTATTTTCAGGTCATTATTTTATAGTGGAAGCTGACATCAAGGAATTCACAGCTTTGAAAATTGACAAACGGTTTCATGTGATGCTGAATATCTTACGGCACTGCCGGAGACTGTCAGAGGTCCGAGGGGGAGGACTCACCCGATATGTTATAACCTGAGGCCCTTGGGAGCTTTAGAACCAGCCAACAGTAGGATATAGAGGCTATTCCTATAGTTTCCTTATATGTAATTTTTTTATGTATAATTTCTTTAGCTTTTTCATCATCTTGTTTCTTATAAAAATAAAACTTCTTTAAAATAAAGCATATATATTTTAAAATAAAATTTCTTTCAGCAAATATTTAACCACTTACTATATGAGCCTCTGTGCTACACATATAATGGAAGTAAACAATGTTCATGTCTAGTTTGTGTGTTTAGTGACAATGCTGCGGACCCCAATAAGACAGATGCAGATATGGTAATGGAAGAAAAAGGTCAAGAAGATAAAGTCAGGGGCCGGCTGGGTGGTTCAGTTGGTTAAGAGCGTGAGCTCTGAGCAACACGGTCACCAGTTTGATTCTCACATGGGACAGTGAGCTGTGCCCGGGCTGAGCTACCGCTGAGCTGCCAACAGGTGGCAGGATGGCTCAGCTGGTGAGAGCACGTGCTCCTAACAACAAGGTTGCCGGTTCAACTCCCACATGGATG